CGTGTTAATATTAAAGCACGGCATCATTATAGTAGATGTTACCAATGACGTTGAAATAGTATTTAGGTCACTGTTTTTGTAAAAAGCTACGTAAACGTGAATAAATATTGAGATGAATACTACAATGGAATCAGTAGTAATCCTGCGAACATTTTAACTAATTGACAAACAAATAAGACAATAAATATAATGTAGATCAATAGTCAAACTAGGAAATAATTTGCAAGGTAAAATTAAAACCGAGTACCAAGAATTTGAAATTTGAAAAACGACTTGCACGACCATAGATTATAACATAGTACAGGTAAAACAATCTTTTTATGAAAGGGTTTCTCAGTAATCATAGCAACTAGCGTTTGTATGTACATATCAAGCGTTATATTATGTAATATGCATAATGCATTGTATACACATACATAATATGTAGTACAATATAATGATTGAGATACTTGGTTGAGAAACACCATACTTTTTCATAGTAGTTGCCTTTTATAGCATTTAAATGTAATATATTTTAACCACAAATTATTCCATATCACATTTCTGTGAATTAATGTTGGCATATTATGATAATCAGGAGTATTTGGATTATAGTATGAACTAAGAATTCCAGGAATAACGTGATCAGATCAAGAAGTAATAGATAACCACAAACGAATGTACTGTATTTAGCATTCGAAATCAAGCATTCAACAAGTACAAAGGAATCAATAGTTCATTCAAACACCACACATATATATTGCAAACATTGTAAAAATACCATCAAATAAAGTTGTGAAGCTTGCCTAGGTCATTTTCTGCATCTATTTGCTGCTGTGGACTTCGAAAACCAGTTGGTTTAGTATAAACCCGGAAAAATTTCAAACAAAGTATTAAGTATTCACTGACACTAAACATTCACAAATTTTTGTACGTTCTCTTCAAGTCATCCTGTAATATAAACTGCAAGCTGTTGTATTCAGTAAAGACATTTCATATAAAGTATTGGTTCGGAAATCCACGTTTGTAGTCGAAGTCATCTTGCGGAAGTAAATCTCACATTTCACATAGTGAAATTTTCAAGAGTACTGTTGTTTTTCACTTTTAGTGCGAGAAAACGTATTTGTTGTGTTGTAAAACTGTCAAGGTAGATATCCGATACCTTTGTGTGAGTTCAAGTATAAAATGTTACGGTTTCAAAGAGTAACATTCATAGTAAATATTCAGTAATTCACGAGATCAGAGCTAAAACTTTCTATTGCTTGTGAGTTCAGTATAAAGTGATGTTTCGTCAGAAACTATAAAATGAAATAAAAACGTTTGAGTGGCAGAGTAACGTGAAAAAAAACAGAAATTTAGCTAAGCAAACTTAAATTTGGACGCGTGTTAACAGATTTTGAATGGAAGTAATTAGAGTAGTGAAGCATTAACCTGGAGGTTAAGACGTTTGTCTTCCAGTTATGTAGTCTTAGGTTCATCTGCTTCATTTTGTACTGAGAAATCCATATTGTGCTGAACATAGAGTTTTGAATAAAGTCGGTATTATTATCAATAAAACGGATGTCGGATAATCGTTATTACGATATTTAATAAAAATGTTGAGCGGCAGAATCCAAGAAGAACTTCCTATAATCATTTGTGACTGGTTAGTCGAATATAAACGTTACGAAGGAGGGACTCGATGTAGCGAGTATGCGAATTAACCACAGCAAACGATTTAGTTCGTTTGAAACACGATATCCCGCAACTTCTTTTTTTCGAATCTCAATGTTACGCTGTTGATATTAAGTGGATCAATGTATTCTTAGTAAACTAACATATTTGGGACAATTTATCTATAGAGTCAAATTTATACGGCGGAAACTACAACACATTGGCCCGACAAGAATAAGTCTATGAATATTATTATATGTAAAAATTATATTTGGGTTAATCTCAACTTTTGAAATTTAAAGTAGTTCTAACGTTTTTGATGACATAAAATTCACAGTGGAAAAAGGATTCGAACAACAAACTATCACTATTCACCAGAACCGACACCAAAGAAATAGAGACTCAAGTGTATCGGAAGCGGGCAAACACAGGTCAAATTCTAAATCAAAGTAGCAACAACCGAAGAACTCGCGAAATCAACTACGTACAATCTTTATTCAAGGGGAAAAGAACACACTGCAGCACACTTACTACGCGGAAAAGTGAAGAAAAATATCTAAAGACTATCTTTCGAAAGAACGGCTACTCAACCAAATTCATCAGAAAATATCAACATAACTCATCAGCGGAAACGAAGGCAAGTACAAAAATCAGCAAACGGATCATCGTACCATTTGTAAAAAACAAATCAGAAATTGCGACGATATTACTAAAGCCGTTTGGATGACTGTTCCTTGTTTATTCAACAATCATAATTGTTATGTTTTTCATAAATGATACATGGTTTGCTGACTCATTTTTCCTATTCACTAGTTACTGTCCAACATGTTATTTATGTTTCTTTTTCCCCCTATTTAACAGAATGTATTATTGCTTTTTGCATACTAACAGAGTTAATTTACGTTTTAAAAACAGATAAAGTTTATCAAGCCAAACACCTTACTTGTTGTGACTTTTTCTAAGCTAAAACTCTGTGCTCGGTAGTCTGGAGAGTACTTTAGAATTTCTTCTGTAGTTAATTACATCCTACACCTACAGTACAGTTAAAACTGAGGAAATCACTGAATCGAACAAAGTAGATCCCTCCTTTGTCGTCTCTTGCACGAACATCAATTAGCGATTAAACACCATGGCATATCTTAGTTAATATCAATGCGTGTGGAGAAATGTGGATACACATTGAACTGAAAAAGGTTGAGAATTTGAATGAAGAGGATACTAAAATCACTAGAAAATTTCTAGAAGCTTGACACTCAGGTCAATCAGCAATCAATAAATATATTGAAATCGATCCAATCTATCAGCCAACCAAAAAAAGTATCTACAAATATAGGATCAAGAATCGTATCAAAGGGAGATGCGATCAAAATAAGGGTGTAGACAACGATAGATTAAACGTCAGTAATAAAAGCCATCTAAATCATCCACTTGAATAATAAATCTTCTCCACCATCTCAAAATTAGTTACATGAACAAAGATGTCATTGAAATCTTAAAATAGACATTAAATAATGGAAACGTTTAGGATCTGCAAACACCTTGCTTCTAAGCATTCTGTTTTATTAATCACATACACCAAAATTAGGTGGCTCTATACAAGCACAAACATTTCGAAAATATGCGATCGAGATAATTCATTTCAATTCCAAATAAATCTAAGAACATAAAATTGGAAACTATTTTACTGAACTACTAATTACTTCATAAAAAATGGTTAAATATATATAATGTACTTATTGCTCTAGTTGATAAAAACATTGACTAAGTTGTAACAATTATGGTTTCGTAGACAGAAATTAACTGTTATTTATTAATTTAGCAGTTGAATTAATGAGTCAGTTAAAGCTAGACCGCCATGGAGAACCTGGAAGCAATACATAGGTCAAGTGTTCGCGCGCGCGAGAACGATAGGTCCTTGATTGGAATCCCGCGCTGCTGAAGAGTCCAATACTTAGACAAAACAGCTGTCCAGTGCTTCCAGGTTTTCCATGCTGGTATAGCTTAAATTGACTCATGAATTCAACTACTAAATTACTAAAATCCCCACAAAAACCGCTTCTGATATTAATCGACATATGCTCACTAGTGACTGGCCTCAAGAGGTATTTCGTGGAGTTCTAGTGAAAAGCTATGACCAGTGGATTTCAACCAGATCTGTTGTGAAATAGTAACTCACTGAAGATTATGGTGGACGCTGGCGCGACTTCGTGGATTAGTTGAACTTAGACATTAACACCATTGAATGCCGGCTCAGTGGTCTAATGGTAAAAAGAGTTCGCACGCGTGACCGATAGATCCTGGTTCGAATCTCGAAAGGTGGGATCGTGGATGAGCATTACTGAAGAGTCCGATAGTAAAACGAAACGGCCGTCCAGTGCTCCCAGGTTTTCCATGATGGTCTAACTTCAATTAACTCATGAATTCAACTATTAAATTACTAAAATTTTCCCCCTTCTGTTGTTTATTAGTTTGATACATTTTACTTTAATAATCTGCATGATTATTCCAATGACAATTGTCAAATGATCCTATTATGAGTAATTTTTATTGTTGAAAAAGTAGGCTTAAAAGACTTTTTTTGTTGAAAAGAAAACACAACACTTTGGATCAATAAAGGAAGGTAGTTTATTTGTTTAATCAAATCATAAGGGGATTTCAATCACAATATATATATATATATATATATATATATATATATATATATATATATATATATATATATATATATATATATATATATATATATATAATCCTTTGAAGATTCGTTTAATGTGATGTTCAGTATGTATGTATCTTTGCTAATGTTTGTATTTCATTGTATTATTCAATAAATTAAATGAAAGATTTTATTTAGAAAAGAAGTACATGTTTCGATTTTTGGAAAATTAAAAAAAAAAGACAAAAGCTTAGTTAAAGCGTATCATGCCATGAAGTTAAAAAATATCATAAAGTAACTTGATTAAATTCAATAAGAGATTCTGAGAGGATAAAGCCAATGAATAATAGAAATGAATAACAACCAATAATAACTTTAGTAGCTATGATTGTCATAATAATTGAAACAATGGAAACAATAAAAATAGTTTTAAGTAAATAAAACAAATATTATATAACTAATACAATAAACTCATGCAATTTTGAAGATAAATAATATTTTATATCAATGAATTACAAAAAAATAAATTGAAGAATTTATAATCTTCAACTTAAATGAAAATAAAACTGTAATCCTACGAAATAACACTTAAGTAAGAGGAGAAAGAGGAACGTAATGAGAATCAATTTTTGAGAAGACAAAAAAGTATAATAATAATAGTAATAATAATAATAATTCTATATAAATTCATTATTAACTTTTCTTTTTTTTTATCTCATTAGTGTTTGTAGACGAAAACCATGACGAAAAAACTAAACAAAACAAAAGAGTCATCATACATATTTGTTGTTAAAATCAAAGCAAAAAGAAGCAAACAAATATGTTACCTTAGTTAATGATTTAAATAGCGTTAAAACAAGGGTAAAATAAATGACTAGATGTAATCTTGGGAAATAAATTACTAAAATGAAGAACAATTCCTATTCAATTGAACTCTTCTAATTCTATAATATTTTCCGATGTCATATTGATTACTAGAAATGTAAAAATGCTTTTTTATTTCATATTTGACAATATATAAGTAGTTATGTAATGTTATTGTTGTTAAATCGAAACAGATGTTGATAGTTAAAACTCTGACACACCTGATGAATCATTGTTAATATCTGGACGTCGTCCACTAGGAATTTTCTTCGTTGTAGTTATAAATGTACCACTACGTACTGTTCTTTGTGTATCTAACCAATTCTGAGCTGGTATAGCTTTCCATACTTGTTTCGTTTCAATTGTTGTATTAGTTGATGGATTATTTGTTGAATAGATTGTTACTGGTCGAACAGATTGCTCTCGTCTATAACGTAAAGGCTAAAAACAACATGGTCAGATAGAAAAACCACAAAATAATAAAATCATTGAATATACAACCAATCAATCAGATATTCTTTCAAGAGGATTTTAATTATCGTTTCGAAGCTTTTGACATACGGGAAATGTTCACCTTTCTCACGCTTACAAGGTATTATGATTAAGTATATCATATAAACACCTATTTTGAATAGTCGTACAGTAAAAATGCACCATGATCCAATTCAGAAATTATCACGGGAACGCTTTAAATCTTGTTATTCTCAATGTAAATAAATAGTATGATATATATACGTCTGGAGACTTGGTAAAATGTTGGTAAAATTTTGAAGGATCTACGTAAATATTAAGGGAATGAGATATCTAGTCTGAGATATAATAAAATATTAACAATGATAGTTAAGCGGAGGGTCATCAACGTTTTGTTTTATTATGACAGGTTTTGTTCATTCTTATAAGAACATCTGATTCAGCAAAGGATGAGAAAGTTATCCCTAAATTTACTATTCATTTCAGATTACTTAAAAAAATCGAGATAATCGCTATCGATTAATTGTGGAGGTAATGAACAATAATCATTTTTGATGTCTTTGAGTCTTAATTTCACTGAAGCGCACTCAGTAATAGAAACATTTATCATTCTCTATTTTCTCTTAATCTATAATTTTTCGGCATATTCAAGTAAGTTGTTATATGCAATCGTACGTAACTAGAAAAGAGTACTTATAGTGTTTTGACTGTTTTAAAGAATAGTTTCTTTTTATACAAAGTAGTTTTTGGTCGAATGTTTGTTTAGTTGGTTCATTTGGTGATTTTATTGAATTTGAAGATAAGTTACAATGCAAGGTTCTTTCATGACTGCATGGTGCCTGGTTTGTTTAGTCATGTCTTCCCGTGTACACAAGTGTACTGTGTAAATATCATTTTTTCAATTACTGAGGGTTCTTGTTCTAGACTCTCATTTGAATAAAGTCTACGAGTATAGGTAAGAAGATATTAGGAAACGGCTTTTGAACAGAAACTATTGTCCCAGTAGATTACTAAAAGTAGAATCTCAAATACTGTCTAACAGTAGTTCGTATACAATATATATTTATTCAAGTTGTAACATTTCATCCTAGGTTTCTTCTTATGACCAAATGAGCACACACAATCTTTCTCACTCATATAAATCCCCTCACATACTTGAAAAATATTCGCCAAATAAACCAATCACACTTATGTTATGTAGTCCACGAGTAGTTCATAAATAAATAAGCAAACAATCAATCAAAATGTAATCGGTGCGACATACTACTTATAACTGTCAACATAAGTAGCATACGCCATACTAGTTCTCGATTTAAATAAAAGTAACTCTTGCCGTCGTTCTCATTGCCATGCCGCTCTCTTCCTTGTCTCAGTCTGTGTCGCGCTCTCCTTCGAAATGCCGGGTCCGCCAGCGCACTGACCGCCATAACAATACCAACCTGCCATATCATTTAAATCCAATGTTCACACAGAACTCGGAGCCTAGTTTCTCCTCCCGTCAACAGCCAACGCCGACCCGCCAAAACACTCCAATAGACATCCTCTCCATGCACCGGACTGTGCCAAGTAGCGTTTTTTATCTGGGCCTTAAATTGGTGTTCTCAGAATTCTATATTCTCCGCCTGCCCATTGGCAGCGACACTAATCGTAGTGAATGAAGGCTTGATGGGTAATAACCAGTTTATTGCGTAATCCGAAATTACAGAGTGCTTTCGTAAAATATGAAGGTCACGCACGAAATACCTAAACTGGACATCTTCCATCAATGTCTTTTACATGCTTCATGATTCTTTCAATTCTATTGTTATTAAAATCACTTTCACTTTCCCTTTCTATCCTTTTTATTTGGATCTTCCCAATCTTCTGCTCACAGGCATTCCACTTCGGATTGGTGCTACATACTACTTATATCTGTCAACATAGGTAACATGCAATACAAACATACCATTGATAATTTCATAAAATCAATAATCAAATATATCCATGAATGTTTTTGGTTCCAGATCAACTCAAATATCAATGTATACAGATACAGACATAGAAGCCTAACGACAAAATTTTATCACACTGTTGCATGGTGTGGAATACTTTAGCTTATGTACTACATGCAATCTATAGAAGAAAGATAAGTGTAAATTAATGTCCGATCGTACACATGTGTGTGAGGATTGATTGATTTTATTGGCCCTCCTGATTTCGGGTGTCAAGAAATGTACTCGAAAGTTCAACTTCGGTTATGAATGTAACGATGAAGTGTATTCAGTCAGACAGAAGTGTTAAAGCAAATGAAAAAGCAAATCTTCACAATGTGCTAGAATACTGTTACGTTATTCTTTGCTGTATTGGTGCTTTTATTTCATTTCATTTTAGTTGTATTATTAGTGTTATTTGGTTAAAAGAATTCAGCCAGGTCTCCTTGGACAAAAACAAGGTGTATTAATAGGGACGTCTAAAATTTTATCTTCTAATGTAGCGATTATCTAAGTTTAACACTGTAGTAAAGTTAAGCGTCCATAATGTAGCTTGGCGTGCAGCTGTGCTATTATTATAACTCAGGAGGCTTAGTAACGAGACTACAAACATGGTTTTTTAGACACTTTTTCATCGGAAACAAGATGGGGGTTGTATTGATGCACACACTAACCCAGATGCATTCGTTTATGGTACAAAATTAGTCATTTGCATACGACGCATAATGTACACATCTGTCTCATATAGCTAGCCGATCGGTTTCGATTCTCTGGCTGCATGAGTTTTGTACTGCAGATTAGCGTAATATTGCGAGATGAGGTGTAATTTAATCCCGAAATTTATTTGTTTTGATTTATCACACTTGATATGACGAACAATATTGTGATATTATGTTACTTGACCTCAAACTATCAAAGAACTAGAACTAGACGGGGCATTTGATGTGTTAATATAAGTGTGATCTCAATACGCTAGATACTGTGAATGCCACGGGTGTCGAGGTGAAGACTATTCTGAAGGTTGCAGTTAACACTGTCACGGTTAAACAAAACTAAAACACAGATCTCACATAGTCATGTGATAAGATCAACTAGCATGTTATTTCAAATTTCCTGTTGAGCATACTTGTATTGTTCCATGAATCCAGTATTTTTTGTTTGAAACCCTAGTGAAGAAATTCTGAAGAAATAACCTTCTGTCATCACTAATATTCTAAATATATCGTCGTTCTATATCTCATTGTCATTATTATTTCTTCACTTGTAAGTTGTATACTTCATAAATTAATTTTTGCTTGTATACTCATTGAACAGTTACCGATTCCCATAGTAATTTCTAGAACATATTCACAATCTTACACATCAATCAGTTTTATTCCCTCTGATATGACTTAAATTGTTCAAATATAGATTGAAGGAAACATAATATTTAAAGCGAATATACTTAGCGACTTAGTTAGTACAACACTGTTATTTTAAAATTTATGAAACAAACAGAAAATATAATTAGAAATTCACCTGAATATCAACATGATTTGATTTATCCATATAGGCTGGATATGCTGGATAAATAGGTGAACTAGGATTCCAGTTGGGAGAACTTTCTACTTTTCTATGTGGACTGTATACCGTAGATGCATTATCGCTAAAAGTAGAAATATATATACAAACAAAATTTCGACTAAGTTATACTAATTTAGTTATACATTTCTTCCATATGATACATAAGAATGCTAAGTAGTATATCTAGTTTAAAAAGTCTCGAATGATCGTTTTCAGAAGCCTACGGAATTCAGTCTATGTTGAAATCGCTTTTCGTCAGGGACTGATATGAACCAGAAATCCTTCAAAAATAAATAGTACTAACCAGCTGTTTTATCTTAGTTTGGAAACCCAAGGGACTGGTGACCCATTATTCCCCCAGAGACCGGACCTAGGTCTTTTAGGTCCCGTGTTAAGCACGCTACTTCTGAGTTAGAGTTAAATGACCCACATTTCCTACTTGAAATTTAATCTATCATTTGAAGTAGTAATTAAATAAAATCACTAAACTTCATAGTCTAGTACACAAATCTGTGATGTTCATTAGGCTGTATTATATATTTATTAATAAATAATTCAAATGGCTGTCACACGAACAGAATTGACATTATTAGATGTTTCATTCTTCACGAACTGAATATATTCTCACATTTATCTACTTCCGAAAGTCAAATGAATACTCTCACTAAAATATTCCATTCAAATTTATTATTTTACTGGAACATGAACACTTTGATTTACTGCTAACAAGGTTTCGACCAATGGATTGATAAAATCAGATCGATTTTTTTATTCACTGTATATTATTTGCTAACATTTTAGTGAGATGCCACAAAAAGACCCAGATCACATGAAGTTTAACCGATGACTTAGGTCTATAATGCCGAAGTTTTTCGGAAAAATTACGTTGAATTTCAATAAATACATTTTTCAATACGCTTTTGGAAGCTTTCAATGCTAAGGAAACAAAGCTTACCGAAACGCTTGTTTATTTCTTGTAGATTTGTCAACAATATGAAAAACAATAAGAGTTCTTCAATGTACATCAGTATGCAGTGAACATATTTGAAATTTCAACATCTTCTAAGGACGAATTTATAATTTTATTAGTACATTAGTGAATTCCACGGTGGAAACTCAGATAAGTAACTATACTATACTGATAACTAATGAGTAGTTGAAGGGAATCATTAGATTAATATGGATTATATCATCAAAGTATTTGTTTTACTAACCCTAATACGGACTTTATAAATGGAATTTGTTAGTTAATAAGGCCTTGGTTGTACTAATAAGTTTCGTTTCTGTTGATCAGTAAATCAACATGATTAATTTGTAAAGTGAATTATTTTCTTTGACATTTGGTGCCATTAACATAGCTAATAAAAGTCATGGAGTACTGAACAGCTGTTACATCCTAGATGAACAGCTAGTAGATACTATTTAATCATGAAATCCACTTTTGAACTTATTTTTGGTATTAAATTTACCATCTATTGACAGGAAGAAGATTTATGGAATACTGTCTGGAAAATGTATTGAATAATTGTTCTGTTTTTATGAATTTGAATATAGTTAATATGAACCTTGATATATATATCCCATATTTATAATACATTTTTATGTTGAGCTCTTATGTGTTTGATTATGTGATAATTTTGTTGATAATAAAAGGTGACTTTTCTACAGAAGCATAATTTAATTTGCTGAACACACAGCTCGCTGACGTCAAATAGGATGAAACATATAAACAGAGATTCTTGTCGATTGACAACAATCACGAAAATATGACATAGTGTCCACCACGATGCTCAGTCACGTAGGATACAGTTGGTATAGTTTGATCATCACTTAGGACTAGACAAACATGACATTACCTAAGGTGGACGACTGTCTAGAGGTTAGGCATTTGCGCAAGAAATCAAAGGTTCTGGGATAGGCCTCCAATGATGTGTTCGTGGATGCGCACTGTCAAGTCTTAGACTAGAACAAAAACTGCTTTTCAATGATTGTTTAATCATGATCAATAAATACTCTAATCCATGAAAATTTACATCTTCACAAAATCTTATTACTAAAACATGACACTGAATAAGACTGTGTAATCATTAAGATCCGATTGGCTGCAAGTAGACAAATTGCGATTAACTCACGTTTAAAGTGAGAGTACTACTGAATGTTTTACATTAACATAAAAAAATCATATGTAAGCCATAAAAAATGATAAGCACTGTTTTCAATCTTCATGGAGTCAGATTAAATGGTAACAGTATAATAAATGAGAATTACTGAAATTGTTTTAGCACCTATCTTTACTCTCAGAAACTGATTTCCTAATATAATTAGTGAAAAATCAATTAGTTACATTGGTTGATAACTACTACTAATATCGGGGTATTTTAAGAAGTGACATAAAACTTACCGAGAAATCCTTTGCAAGTCAGAAAATTTCTAATTTTTCAATTTTATTCTTCTTTTTATGAACCACGATGGAGATTTAGTAGGAGAGTAAACAGACAATACCATGTAGAAGCGTAAGTAATTAGTTCTGGCTGATGAAATGAAACTATGCCGTAAATAGGGAATACCACGAGTTGATCGAAATCAAATGGATAGACTCTTGCATTCCAACTTGGTGATCTACAGCTTTTTATTCTTGTCATAAAATCTGAAAGTTCTTTCACGCTAACGACTCAAGAGTTTCAATTTCCACTATCATGCTCGTCTAGTTGTTAGTACTGACTCTATTGACTATGTAGCAATTTGAACCCTAGCACAAGTGACTCGACATCACAGGTACTGTGTCTTTATTACCTGGGTGGAGGTAGATAATAAGGAACAACGGACGTTTTTCATGCTATTTGGTACTAGCCAGTACCACATAGCTTTAGTCTTGAGTAGACAGACAGTCTATGGTAGATTCGAACTCGGATCGAACAATTTGTCTGTCTGAGACGGCACATGACTGACCTCCTGTCTGACTAACATTCTATATCTATTGGTCACACTGACTGAATATTGGCTGATCACTGGGCATCAAGGACTAAACGTGCACAACATTTTACACTATTTAGCGACCATTCTAAATACCTACTGAGATAGTTCAGAATGTCGACAGAAATAATGCAGTATAAAAAGTGATCATTAAAACATGTAAACAAACCTGTTGTATACATTTACACGTAGAGGTTGTACAACTCTGCCGGAACCACGCGATATTGAATTGTACGAATTATATGATGGATAGACTGATGAAGGTGTAATTGGTCTAACAGGTGATGAACTTGAATTATATTGTTTAGCTGGGTAGATACGTGTTGAGCTTCCATTGTACACTCGTCCAGATGTTATGTTCCCAGTTGGATGTGAATCTTGAACATGTATAGTTGCAGAGTATTGAGGATAGTTTTGTTTATAATTAGATTTTGGTTGCACAGTATTGAAATAGTTTGTAGTAGCAGGTGGGTTCTGTAAGCAGTAAGTTTCAATAAAAATTGGTTTAGGTAATGACTGTCTTCCTTATCAAAATTTTGTATAAATTAAAACAAATACTGATTCAATAAAATTTACAATTACGATCAAGCAATTGAGCAAAGCTTGATATATAATACAGGTTATTTAAACCCATTAATTTCGAATAATCTTACTAAAGTTCTAGGGTAATAATAGACCGCGGTTTGTGATCAACTGTGTGGCGAATCTAAATGCTGATACGAATGCTATATAGAATTAACTTTTTAAACCATGTTGTATTCGATTAAACAACTTATATTTTATGTCTCTTAATCACTGTTTATCGAGATCTTCCAATTAAATTTTCGATGATACTGTGGTGTGTGCTACTTATATAGTGTTGTATATAACTCTAGTCTGGAAGCAGAATCTCAAGAAGATCGAGGAGGAAAGGACGAGAACAGAAAGCAATTGGTATGGAAATGCAGGAACAATAAAGTATGAGATGATTGACTGAAATTTGAAAGAAGAACAGTCGAGTTTAAGACAATTGATTGACATTTTGCAAATTAAGTGTTTATTGTATGGTTCTCATATTTTACTAAGGTGTTCTGTAATTTTTTGTTCAAAATGCATTTGGCTGTCATCACTTGTGTTCTCGTTCACTACAGTACCACTTAGCCAAATAATTACACACTCCCATTATACTGGCACTGGTGTTCGGTGGCTGGGAGTAATCACAAAAAATCCAGGAATTATAAGTGATCTTCTGCTCTATTTTCGTGATTTTATTGATATCATCCTTCAGAAAGAATTTCAAGTAATACGAAGTCTAAGTCTGAGGATGTTTATTTTCCACTCTAAGTCATTGAATATTTTGTTTTCTTATGAAAGTAGCTAAGTTTATCTTTATTCAATTTAGATCGAATGATTACTCACTTCGAACGCTAATAGTTGTGATCATTAAAAACATTTAGATAGGACATTTTTGAAACCAAATATAAAGCATGACTGATAAAACACTGAAATAAGTGAGATGGTCAACTAATAATTTCATATAGGGTTTGGTGTCTACCTCAGAGAAGAAAACTCCACGAAAATACTGTATTATACTTTTGCAATAATGCACTACGTATTATAATCAACCCAGTAGAGTCCCAAGACTAAAATCGAATACGACACTATTCATGAACTGGTAAATGAACTACAAGAAAACGAAGTCAATCTTTTTTTCTATTCACCACACCTAACGAAGATGGTACAATGTACCAGAAAACATATAAACAGTATATGTATTATGTAAAATCAATGATATATGTAAATCACTGTGTTTTTAAACTCAACAAAGTAAACGGTCACAAAAGTTGATATAAATCAGTCCAATTTATGGGTATACCGATGGGAACATTTAACTTTGGTTACAGACATAAATTTTCTTATCTGCCTAAACAAAAGGTGCAAAGATAATCAAATTTTATCCTAAATGTCCATGAATTTAGGTCATATATCAACAAGTTAACTCTAACAATATATGCATAAGATAAGAAGTATATATATAGCTTTATTTGAAAAGTAGCTACAAAGATAGAAAACTATGCAAAGAAAACAATGGACATTAATAACAAGGTTAGATAAGTAGTCTGATAGCAGAGTATATGGATATTTTTCTTATATCTGAGAGAAAAAAAAGCACACTATACATTCCATTTTATACTTTACTATACGTACAACAAAGCATGTTGTATTATAAAAATTTGAAATAAGATTTTTTGTCTATTTTGTCCATAATTTGTTCAAGTTGCACTTTTGAATAGTATATGAAATTCAATACGTACTATGTGGTAATATAGTGAAATATAATTATGAATTGTAATGTTCCTTACAAAACTCACTAATTTAATGAAAAAAAGGAATTATTTATTTGATATACGTTAAAAGAGCGTATGAGTAATTCTGCTCTTTAGGTGCTTTGTTATTGATTCCATGAAGTACTGTTACACATAATAATAAAGCATACCAATTTACTACTGTTTTTCGAAACATATTGTGAGGATGGTCCACGGGTGAACTCGAGGAAGCCTTAAGAAGCTCAGAAAGAGCCGAAGATATTCCATCCAATCATTTTTGGAAAAATATTCTGGAATTTCTACGTGTAGCTTCCCGATTAAACAATGCTAATAACCTCCTGTGTGCGGATTGGATAGCTATAATGACGGTTTCGTTTTTAATAAAAACTATAAATACCTGACAGCTTTGTATTATAATTTGACACTGTCTGGAATAACATTCCTTTCACCAGTCTTCTGTCTTCTCATTGCGACTTGGAAGGGTTCTAGCATTCTAGTGCTCAAGTTATACTCGTCATATCAAGAATATAAGCATCTAGACATAACACATATACAATCAATGGAGTACTGTATCTTGAAATTTAAAGTAAATTCATGATTTAGCGGATTCACTATTGGTTCGAATTGAAAACTTCAATAAATATTGTTGGCTGTCAAAATCTCTTTTGCATAACTTAACATCAAAATTTATTATTGAATAAACAACCAAGTTTAGAAGTGATGTCAGTTTTTGACAGGAAATTACCAGAAGATCATATTTAGTTTGTTACTGGAATAATTAGAAGGCTATTTGAGCATCGATCATTAATTTATTCTTTCATAATTCATATTAAGATACAAACCCATCATCCTTTAACGTCAGCTTCGTGAGCTATGAAATTTTGGAACTTGTGTTACTCAGCAAAGTAATAACTTTTTCTTTCATCGAACTATTTGTGACCAGATTTTACATTGCATAAATGCACTACCTTGTTAAATAACAGATTTTCCTATCGTACACACCAAAGTTTTGAAATTTACTATTAGTATAATGTAAACAGTTAATAATTATAGGTAGATAGCTATTTGATTTGTTTATTGAACACCAGTTAATGTGGTCTATCAGAAAATATATTTATATCACATCTAAGTTTTCCCTATTTTAGATAAACGCATTACCAATGAATATTACCAATCAAATTGTTTAAATCCATTCATTCCAATTAGTTTAAATTTTAATAATGATAGTTATAAGAAACTTCGAAGTAATCGTATTCGTATGAATCTATCTCACAAGTTGTCTAAAACATCCATTTTCAATAAATTGTGTATCAATAAAGTAATATTTATTACGAGAGATATGAATTTCACAAAAAATAATGACATCCAATTACAAAATCAATAGTCTGTTAATTTACCTGATTGTAACGAGGTGAAGGTGGTCCAGCAACGTATTGAGTGAATTCCTGTTGAAATGATTTTTCTGATGGCATTGTAGACAAACTGAATGTTTTAGTTGATCTTGATTTTACTGGTTCACTGGTATTGGTTGTACGATTTTCTCTAACCCATGTTGGTGTTACTGGAGCATCCCATCCAAAGTTATGATCTGTTCCACCATATTCCGATTGAGTTTCATATCGATTATGAAAATTGTTTACATCGTTTCTTTTTCTTGGCACTGGACATGAATAAAAATTAACATAATAATCATTATCATTTCACCTCTTATAATAACGTAATTATTCAAAACACTGATTGTATTTTACCGATGTAAATATGACTCGAAATAATGATTATTCGAAAAATTTAAATGCTAACTATTTTAGAACTACAGATGCATATTTATAGTATGTCAGTCAGTCAGTCAGCTACAAAGTAGGACCAGGCACATTTATGCATCGGTCCTTGGTGCCTTACCTTATTAACACAACAAGATGAACACCGGATTCATAAAAGTAGTTAGTTCAGAGGTGGTAATATATAAAAGAGAGATTGCAACAAGGATATAGTACACAAAGAAAGAATTAGTTCGTAGAAAGAAAGATATGATGTGATTTTAATCTCTTCGTTTAAGGGAAGACAGGGAGTGTATACACCGACGCCATTGTGATCGATTCTGAGCCATGTCACCAAGAGTCTCCAACCATTGTTTACGATAGTCACGCGGACCCCAACCAAGTAGTCTGCATCTACTAACATGGCTCAGACTAGAAGTTAGTGACTTCATGCACTGATGCCACGTTTTGGTTTGGCCGCCCCTAACCTTCTTCCAACCATCTCCAACACCGGTTAGCATTGCACGTCGTGGTAATCGGTGTTCGGGCATACGTAACACGTGACCCAACCATCTCAGTCGATGAAGATTCACAACCTCATCAACTGATTTACCATCATTCCCTAATACCCTGCATCTAACCTCACTATTACATACCCGGTGATCCCAGCAGATGCCAGCAATATTTCTAAGGCATCTGTGGTCAAATACTAGTAGCTTACGAGTGTCTTCTACTCTTAATGGGCATGTTTCGCTGCCGTAAAGTAAAACAGAACGGACTGTCGCGCAGTATACCCGTCCCTTTATTGATAGACGGATATCTCGCCTTCGCCAAAGGTGAGGAAAGTTGGCAAAAGCCAAGCGAGCTTTTCGAATCCGTGCTGAGATTTCGTCAGACACCAACCCATTAGGGCTGATCAGACTTCCAAGATAAGTGAAGTTGCCAACGCGTTCGACTACTTCACTCCCTATCCTTAGTTCAGGTGTTGACGCAGACCAGTCCTGAAGCAACAACTTGCATTTACAGGGAGAGAAGCGCATTCCAAACATTCTGGCATTGTTGCTTAGTGCTACCAAAAGACTCTGCATTTTGTCAGCGTCCTCACCAAACAGGACTATGTCATCTGCGTATTCTAAGTCGATAAGTGGACCTCCTGGTAGATCAATGCCCGAAAATTCAGTAGACGAGAATGTTATTTCCATCAATAGGTCTATGATGAAGTTAAACAAAAATGGAGAAAGTGGACAGTCTTGACAGACACCATTTGAGGTTGCGAAATCAGATAACAGTTCGCTATAAGCTCTCACTCGATTAGTAGTGTTCGAGTAAAGAGCCTTCACAAGGTTTATGTACTTCTGAGGTACGCCTTTCGATGACAGACACTGCCACAGAATCTCGCGGTCTACGGAGTCAAATTCTGCTTTTAAGTCAAGAAAGACCACCATTGTGGGACGCCGATAAGTATGCCTATGCTCTAGAACCTGACGAATGGTGAATATGTGGTCGATGCAGCCACGACCAGGTCTGAAGCCAGCCTGATTTTCTCGTGTTTTTAGTTCATCAGTCTTTGTTAAGCATCCGATAATTATTGAGACTAGTACTTTAGATGATATATTAGTCAAACTAATCGCTCTATGATTATCACAGAATGATTTTGATCCTATCTTATATATTGGGACGATAAGTGATTGTGACCAGTCAGATGGAATAACGTCTAACTCCCAGATCTTAGCTAAAATATTAGTCAACCTAATCGCTAAAATTGGACCACCATCCTTAAATACCTCTGGAGCCAATCCATCTGGACCAGCTGCCCTTCCTTGTTTCAGATTAACTATAGCCTTTTGAACTTCTGCTAGAGTTGGGGGACCTACTTCGATGTTCCACTCACACTGTCTGGGAATGGAGGGTAGTTGTAGAGTAGCTGAAGGCCAGCTGAACTATTTTCTGAAGTGTTCCGCCCATCGTTCTAAACGTCTGGACTGAGAGCAGATGAGGGTCGTCTTTTTCCGAAATAGCCTGACTTACACTTGACTTAGTAATTCCAGTTTCTTTTATTAGTCTGTAGAGCTGTCTTGTGTTCCTTATAGCCGCCGCCTTTTCCATTTCTTTTGCTTTCGTTGCCCACCACTGCTCACGGTCGCTTCTTAGACTTTTTCTTAACCTAGATCTGATTTGTTGTCGCTCTTCATCATGTTCGGAACCTGATGGGTTGAGTTTACGAGAATCCATCAGTGCAGTAGACCTTGGGGAAATCCATTGGTTCTTTGTAACCCTGTGGTTTAAATCATTAATAGATGTCACTGATGTTTCCACAGCTGTTTGTATAGCTTTCCAAGCAACACCTGAGTCAGCCTCGTTTTCAGAACTACCTAAGTGTGACCTCAGTTGTTCCTGGAACCTACTTTTGGTTTTCTCGTTACTCAACTCAGTTCTAATGGGTCTTTTTACTGTGGCTTTTTTGCGTCCAGTGAGGCGCAAGCAGATGCGTGCCCGTATTAGGGCGTGGTCGGAGTCCAAGCAGGTACTCCAGAATGAGCGACAATCTTCTACCGACCCTCTCCAACGATGACTGATGGCAATATGGTCTATTTGAGTCCATCGTTGGTTTGGTGTAGGGGGTCGCCATGTTAGACGATGTCTCTCCTTATGCTTAAAATTTGTGCTTGCTAAAAATAAACGATTGTCTGAGCACAGTTGCAGCAGACGATCGCCATTATCTGTTCTTTGTGTTGGAATACTAAAATATCCACCTAAATGCCTTTCTGTTTGGTTTAAAATACTTATCTGGGCATTAAAATCACCTGCTACGAGTATTATTTCTGAACGTTTAGCTTTCTGAAGAAGTTCGGAAAGCTTTCTGTAAAAGTCATCTTTCAATTCATCCTATCTGCAGTCAGTGGGAGCGTAGGCAGAAAAGACAAAAAGACAGCGACGTGTGTCCCTATCCTTCCGAGTTCTTACGGAGCCGTTTAGCCGAACAGCACATAAACGACTGTTAACGGGGATCCACCCTACCAGTGCTTTTTCCGTCCTCATGCTTAGTGCTATCCCTACTTCTGCCAGTCCACGAGAGCTGGCCGTCGGGTCACCAGGTACACGGAGGGTGTATCTCGCTGGCTCTCCGTTTTGCCGAGGTGAGGTAAAGTGATTGACCACACTGGGATCCTGTATGCTTGTTTCAGGGGCACAGCATACATCAATGGTACGAGATTCTAGGGTTCTAGCCAAGAAAGCCTGTTGACCGATTTGACATAGGGTGCGTACATTGAAGGCTCCAATGTGTAGTGTGGAGCGAGGTTTCAGTAGACAAGGGACAGTGTTTCGAGCACTAGAATCGATGGTTATGGTGACACTTGAGGAGGAAGCCGAAAAAGGAAGTTAAGAGGTGAAAGTAGATGTAGTAGGAATAATAGGAAGTGAAGACGGAGGTTGATTATGAATACAGTGGTCTTGAGTGCTGTTAGAAGTATGAGGGCGGTTATCAATTCCCGGTTGCCCACACCGTGGAATGGTTCTTCTGGAGGTACGTGAAAAGGAAATTGGATTAGAGGTGGTCTTAGTGACCTGAGAGCGTGACCGCAGTGCCCAAGGGACAACCGCTTGAGGTCGGTCACACACGACCTTTTTATGGGTAATTTTTGTGTTAGCTCCGTACTTGTTGAGACCTTACTGCCGGAGACGGATATCCGTGAGATAAGGCGAGGTGTGCATTTTTAGGGTCGACCTTTTCTAACCCCACCCCTCCTTGTGGGAAGGCAGCATCGCTGTCATGCTGGTTGTCTGAAGGAAACACCTTACTGCTGTCACACCTCTCTACAGTCAGCAGTTCGACTTCGCCTTCGGACCTTGGGTTTGTTGCTTTTAGTCTTACCGCTCTTCAACCGACCTGTCTGACATGGTAGGACTTTGAGGAACAGTTGTTCCAGCCAGTATAGCTCGGTTGCTTCATCACGATGGACAAGCCCGACCACCACGTCAAGGTAGCAACAACGGTCGGGATTTATAGTATGTAAATAAGTATGTATCTATATTCTGGTTAAACTCAAAAGGTAGGACATACTGAACCTATATGTGATCCCAATTGTCACTCATTAGCTAGGCACTTTGAGAATCCTAATGAAATTGATGCTCCCTATAGATCCTAACTCGCATTATTTGAAGTGGTGATCTATTCCGACAATGAGTTGCTTTCCGAAGAACTGAAATATTAACACTGTTGCAGAGGTACGCCTAGCTAAAGTATGCTTTTAAACGAATATCTACAACCACTACGTTATAGAGTCATTTAAACTGGTGGCTATTGTATAAACTGGTTGATGTGATTTGAATAGTATATAAATAAATATCTGGCCGTCTTTAAATCCCACAATAGTTGTTATAACGAAGTATTGACAGTAGGATTCTTATCATTTAAAATATTACTTGTATTATTAAGTAGTTTTACTCAGAAAGTTATAAAGAAAATGTTAATTTTTTATCCGATATACTTTGGAAATTAAGTCAATAAAATGAAAAGTTAAGTTATTCTAGTTTTGTGATTTAATATTAATGACTCACGAATTCAATTATTAAACTACTATAATATTCACGAAACCCCTCTCTGACTGTAGCCATCATATGCTCACTAATGACGGTCTTCAAGAGGTGTTTCCTGGAGTTCTAGTAAGAAGCCGTGACCAGTGAATCTCAACCAGGTCTGTTGCAAGATAGTAACTCACTGAAGACAATGGTGGATGGTGGTGCAACTTCATGGATTGATTGAAGTTAAACATTAACACCGGTGGTCTAGTGGTTAAGTGCTCTCTCGCGAGACTGATAGGTCCTAGGTCCAAATCTCGAGAGGCCGGATCATGGATATGCACTACCGAGGAGTCCTGTACTAGGACGAAACCGTCGTCCAGTGCTTTTGGGTTTTCCATAGTGATCGAGCTTCAATCGACTCATGAATTTAACTATTAAATTATTATTAATGATTTGGATTTATCATTGAAACATTATCTTTCATCATGAATTTTCATATGATATGGTATAGAATATTGAAGCCTCTATTCAAAGAAGTTCAAATGTCAACAAAACTAACTTAATCACTTTGAATAAATCAATAAAAGAATATTGAATCCATTCAAATTAAAGACTATTTCTATTACAAATGGAAATCTTAGAAAGTTATGACGTTGATATCATCTTGAAAAAAAAAAACAATAATTTTTATGCATTTATACATTTATCTTGTCCTCATTTTAGATGTACATTGCAAGAAATTCACATTACGCATATAGTTTTAAAACATATATATATATAGATTAATGTAAATGACATTTAAAATTCCATGTTAACTATTTTAAATATCAAGTATTTACTTGCATGAATATACATAAACATATATATATATATATATATATATATATATATATATATATATATATATATATATCATTGTTTGTAAAGGACAATTTCTTTTTTTAATATTTATTCATTTATTCTTAATATATTAAAAAAGAAATTATATAATGCTACTGAATGTATTCTTTTCTTCAATGTCTTTTAATTCCTCCTCCATCCTCCACTTGCACTAAGTTATACTATTTACCATATTCTATACTAATCTATACTTATTCTTATATACATCAATATTGAATGTGTTCTTGTGCATTTATATTTGTGTCCTAGATATACATACAGATTCACCCAAAGATACTTAAAGATAAAATATCAAAGTTTATTAGATTGACTATAGAATGATGAATTGTATTATTTATTTCTGTGTATATAACATATAAAGCATAATTTAACAAATTTAAACAAAACTATTGAATTCTTATAAAAAAGCATTGAATAAATTCAATATATTTTTATCATTTTGTATATAATAATATCATGAATACATACACTTATCTACATTATACATTAATAGATGCACATACCTATATACAATAAGAAACTATAAGAGGATGATTGAATAATCATTGAACATGATTATAGGTATCATATTCATTTTAAAGCATTTCCTTTTCTAATCTATTTTAACTAATGTAATGTTATATAGACAGAGAAATCAATAAATTTATTTATTGTTGTATTGCTGTATTGAAATATGGAGAAATTCTAGAAGATGTGGAAAGTTTCATGTATCTGGGTAGCATATTCGATGAACATGGAGGATCGGATACAGACATAAATGCGAGGATTGGCAAAACAAGAGTAGCATTCTTACAGTTGAAGAACATATGGAACTCAAAACATTTGTCAACCAATGTCAAAGTCATAATTTTCTATACGAACGTCAAGACAGTCCTACTGTATGGAGCTGAAACTTGGAGAACTACCACAACCATCATCAAAACGGTACAAGTATTTATAAAAAATTGTCTACGTAAGATACTGAATCTCCGTTGGCCTACTGTGGGAGAGAAAAAACCAGCCCCGAGCTGGAAAGTAAATTAGGGAAAGACGTTGAAAGTGGTTTGGACATACATTACGGAAATCACTAAACTGCATCACGAGGCAAGCCCCAACTTGGGATCCTGAGGTAAACGAAAAAGAAGAAAGTCGAAGAACACACTACGTCGGGAATTGGAAGCAAACATGGAAAGGATGAATAGCAACTGGAAGCAAGTGGAAAGGATTGCTCAAGACAGGGTTGGATGGACAGTGCTGGCGAGCGGCCTATGCTCCTCCATGAGGAGTAACAGGCGTAAGTAAGTAAGTGTATTCAAACATGTTATTTGTGTATCAATCAGTTATGTATTTTCATTAGGAACGTTATTTGATAAACGTTTCTCATAAGTTCATTTTCGTATGCAATATATTTGGTAATTAAAAAGTAAATACAACTATCTCGAATCTGATTATTCAAACTTATAAGTCACTCCATTGATTACATTTAATTTTTTCGATCAAACAAATAGCTCATTAGAAAGCTCACAGATGGAAAAACTGTTTATCAGTTTAGGAACACAGCGACGGCAGAAAAACGTTTTAATGATAATAATAATGTGTTTTCATAGTGATTAGTAAAACATTTTAAATACCTATTCACCTTTATATTCCAAGTGACATAAAGATTTTTAACTTATGAATTGATTTTAGGACTGTTTTTCTAATTTTGTTCCTATCTAGTATAATAGTGTAATCGTTATAGTTTTAAAAAGTAGTTCGGTAAAAGTATATTTTGAAGCTATAGCATTCCTTTAATTTGGAACCAATATAACTAATATAACTTTGAGAAAGTAAGGTGTCAAGTAATAAACTACATTATAATGTAGTTATTATAGAGCTATGTATTATCTAAATTAGGATAACAACGATGACTGGATAGTAATCAAGCGATTTAGACTCATAGTCCTATGAATGAACTCCAACAATATTGACTGCTATTCCTTCTCATAAGTATTTAATGTCCTTTTTCCTATAATGATTATTTCACTTATCATGTTTTGTAATCACTGTATTTTTTAATTGATACAAAAAGAGTTAACATTTACAGTGTTAATCAATAAAACAAAATAATTATTGTTCAAGTATTAAACTCACTTGTTAATGAATGTAGATAACCTCTTTGAATACTAGGCGGTTGACCTCCACCAAGAAAAAGTTTTCGTCTTTCACGAACTGGTAGATTCATAAAACTGTAATCAACTTCTTCTGGTTCAACATCATTATTATCTTTGGCATTTACTGGTTTCTGTTGAGGTTGTTGCTAAATCATTAAATACAAAACAAAGCAAATGAATTGCACACTTTCATATATATTCAATATTTTTTAAAAATTTTAAATTTTCTTTGAGTGCTAAATGTGTATCTCATTTAAAATTTTAATCATGGAATTCTTAACTAAAATTACCAGGGTATCTTAATCTCATGCCTATATTAATGCCAATTACAGTAGATTGTCATCCTTATTAAATGTAAGTAAATTAGATTTGCTTACCAAGATATATCCTTACTTTTTTCCTGTCCTTTTCCAGATTCACTTATTAATTGTCCTTCAGTTCACAAAGTATCTTTAGGCTAAACTCACACCTACCTAAGACCGAATGTTACAATTATTGGTGTGAAGAGTTAACATTTAAATAAAAATTAATTAAAATAATAAATGTCATCCCTGACTTTGCCTATACTGACTGTGAAACATAGTACTAATGAGAATTATTTTGTAGCAAATGAATAATTCATCATTAAAAATGTTTCTTAAGTAAAAACTATACTACAGTATTAGTCTTTTTACTTTAATGGTTTTAGAATACACTTTTACGCTGTTATTAATAATCTGATCTCATTTCTGAAGTGGTATTTATGATAGGATTTTCTATGTACATTTAGTATCCATGTAAAATCTTTAAAAAAGCGCTTAAACTAACTGACATTTCACAGGGATGAATAATGAAATGAAATTTTATTCCAAGAGGCATAATATACATAAAAAATTATTTGTGGTTGTACATTATTTTAGCCTGACCGCATATTGCATGGAGAGTACCAGTCTCATGACAGGGATGATACTATCCAGTGATTGAGTTCAAATTTAAGAGTTTTCCAGCTTCACTTGATTGGTAATGTACAAATCATACATAAATCACCATCTATAACTGTAAAAAAACTATAATATGAAATTGACTGAAAAACAAATTGTGAATAGTTGCTGGATATGCCACTGTACACCATTTTATGAATTAGGAACGTCTCTATACACCCTGAAACTTAAGTGTAACTTCGATTAACTACAACTATGAATTCAACAAGTCTCGTTTACTAATTTATAGAGTTCAGTCATTCTAAATAACAAATTAAGATAAGAAAAACATTTGTTTTGATAGTTTTATTATAAGACAAAAGGATTCTATAGAGAAAATATGGCTAAATATGTCATGTACATAAATCCGATTTCAAAAGATACAGGTTTTATTTGAAAATTGCCTGTTTTAAAGCCTTCTTATGTTGAAATAAAATTCTACTATGGAAATTAATGTTATTTAATTCATATAAAAAGAATTTAAGTCCAATATTATTTTTTTTAAAAACTCACTGCATTAAGTCTAGAATATGGTCCAGATTGACCATATACTGTTGTACTGGCAGCTCTTGAAAGATTTCTAGAAGTTGGCCTTGTTCCCATATACTGATTACTAAACATTGGTAAGCTGAAAAAGAATTAACATCAGAAAGAAAACAATTATGTTGAACATAACAATATTTACCAAAATTGGTTTTAAGATGTATTTTCAAAAGTTATTTTCATTTGATAAAAATCAGTAAAGAAATAATATTTTAGGATTTTTATAAAGGGTAATATTCAATTTGTTTTATGGTTATACATCATTTAAACTTTTGATAACCCATTCGACTGTTTATAATCTTGATCTGTTAAGTTATAGGCTAACCTGTAATTCATTTTAAATATCAAGTTTCTTTGTTTTCAAATCTTTTCATGAATACTTTCATAGTACGTCAAATGTTTTGTGGTTATTCGATCGCATTACTATTTAAGCAAAGTATATCCTATCTAACGTTTTATACTTACTAGGTAGGTTAATGAAATTGGACGCAAGTTGGACAACAACGACTAACTTCAGGGGAGCTTCTGTTATACTCCGGCCATGAAGAAGAAAATGCCCCACATACACAAAGAGTTGCAATGGTGCTGTCCAAACAAGCACGAGATGCAATTATAGAATGGGAATCTCATGGACCAAGGATCATCAAAGCCTCCTTCAAAACAAAGAAAGAGGGCAGTTCAATGAACATCATCAAATGCCATGCGCCTACCAACGACTACAATGAAGACGCCAAAGATCAATTCTACGATAGGCTTCAGTCCATCGTCGAGAAGTGCCCAACAAAGGACCTGACCATTCTGATGGGAGATTTCAACGCCAATGTTGGAACGGACAACACTGGATATGAAGACATCATGGGACGACACGGACTGGGAGGAAGGAAAGAAAGTGGTGAGAGATTTGCAAACCTATGTGCCTTCAATAAACTGGTCATGAGTGGCACTATATTCCCACATAAACTCATTCACAAAACCACATGGACTTCACCGGATCATACTACACAAAACCAAATCGACCATATCTGCATCAACAAAAAGTTTAGGAGGACGATGGAAGATATGAGAACCAAGAGAGGAACTGATATAGCATCATATCATCACAAGATTAGACTGAAACGCAAGAAGAACTGGACAACGGGGTGGAAAATATCACAAAAGTTTAATGCGGCTTTTCTTCGGGATACTGACAAACTCAACAAATTCAAGATAGCCCTCAGCAATAGGTTCCAGGTCTTTCATGATCTACTCAATGGAGAGGGAACTACTATGGAGAAAAACTGGAAAGGGATCAAAGAGGCAATCACTTCAACATGTCATGAGGTCCTGAGTCACAAGAAGCACCATCACAAGGAATGGATCACTGTTGATACACTGGATAAGATTCAAGAAAGGAGGAACAAGAAAGCAGCAATCAATACCAGCCGAACAAGAGCAGAAAAATCCAAGGTACAAGCTGAATACACAGAAGTAAACAAGCAAGTGAAGAGGAGCATCAGAACTGACAAACGTAAATATGTGGAAGATTCAGCAATGACGGCGGAAAAGGCTTCAAGAGAAGGAAACATGAGAGAACTGTATGACACGACAAAGAAACTCTCTGGAAATCACCGTAAACCAGAACGACCAGTGAAAAGCAAGGAAGGCAAGGTAATCACCAACATTGAAGAACAACAAAACAGGTGGGCAGAACACTTCAAAGAACTCCTGAATCGACCAGCCCCACTGAACCCACCCAACATCGAAGCAGCACGCACGGAACTCCCAATCGATGTTGGCCCACCAACAATTGAAGAAATTAGCATGGCCATCAGACAAATCAAGAGTGGCAAAGCAGCAGGACCAGACAACATTCCAGCAGAGGCACTGAAAGCAGACGTAGAGGCAACTGCAAGGATACTCCATATTCTCTTCAATAATATTTGGGATGAGGAACGAGTATCAAGTGACTGGAAAGAAAGACTTCTGATCAAAATACCAAAGAAAGGCGATCTCAGCAAGTGTGATAACTACAGAGGCATCACTCTTTTCCTAATACCGGAAATTGTCTTCAGCAGGGTGTTGTTAAACAGGATGATGGACTATTCAGACGCCCAACTTTGAGACCGACAGGCAGGATTCCGTAAGGATAGATCGTGTACAGACCACATCGCAATTTTACGGATCATTGTGGAACAATCAATTGAATGGAATTCATCACTCTACATCAACTTCATTGATTACGAGAAAGCATTTGGTAGAGTGGACAAGACAACACTATCAAGGCTTCTTCGATACTGCAGTGTGCCTTAGAAGATAGTCAACATCATACGGAATTCCTATGATGGATTAAACTGCAAAATCGTGAATGGAGGACAGCTCACAGATTCGTTTGAAGTAAAGACCGGTGTCAGGCAAGGTTGCTTACTCTCACCCTTTCTCTTTCTCCTGGCGATTGACTGGATCATGAAGACGTCAACATCTGAAGAGAAGCACGGGATACAGTTGACAGCTAGGATACAGCTGGACGATCTAGACTTCACATATGATCTGGATCTTCTATCGCACACGCAACAACAAATGCGGGAGAAGACGACCAGTGTAGCAGCAGCCTCAGCAGCAGTAGATCTCAATATACACAAAGGGAAAAGCAAGATTTTCCGATTCAACGCAGCATGCACCAATCCAACCACAATTGACGGAGAAGATTTGGAAGATGTAAAAACATTTACATATCTGTGCAGCATCATCGGTGAACACGGTGGATCTGATGTAGATGTGAAGGCGCGGATAGGAATAGCAAGAGTAGCATATTTACAACTGAAGAACATCTGGAACTCAAAACAACCGTCTCTCAACACCAAGGTCAGAATTTTCAATACACATGTCGAAACAGTTCTCCTGTGTGGGGTGGCAACCTGGAGAATACGAAAGCCATCATCCAGAAGATACAGGAGTTTGTTAACAGTTGTCTAGGCAAAATACTTCGGATCCGTTGGCCGGACACTAATAGCAACAAACAACTGTGGGAAAGAACAAAACAGATATCAGCGGAGGAAGAAATTAGGAAGAAGCGCTGGAAGTGGATAGGACACACATTGAGGAAAGCACCCAAATGTGTCACAAGACAAGCCCTCACATGGAATCTTCAAGGCCAAGGGAAAAGAGGAAGACAAATGGACACATGGAGACAGACATGAGAAGAATGAACAAGAATAGGATAGAACTGGAAAGGAAGGCCTAGGACAGATTGGGTTGGAGAATGCTGATCGGTGACCTATGCTCCATTGGGAGTAACAGGCGTAAGTAAGTAAATAAGGTTAATGAAATGTAATAATATTTTAAATTTAGATCGTTATCTTTTTGACTGTTCTATTTTTTTTAGTTGGTAAAATACAATGTCAACAGAAAAAGGATTACAAACACATAACATTTATTGGACACTGAAATGGTAGTAACTGCAAGAACAAGAGAAAAATGAATAAAAAGCGAGCCGGGCCAACTGAGAATGCATAAATGATAAATCCCGCTATCGACGAATCAATTTATTTGATCGTTAATACTTGTGGATGAGTTTTCAAAGTTTAAGGGTGAGCAAACTCAGTTTTTAGTATACTGAATTGGTACTATTAGTAATCTCTTTTTTGGTTAAAATATAAAAAATCATTGCTAGAACCGCCTTATCCAATCCTAAAAAATGTCTTATCAGATAACTATGAATAAAAAAAACAAGACTATATATTCAAAACAACAATTTATTTCAGAAATGAAACAACTTAGTGTTTGCATAGCTAAGAAACTTTTCATAACCTTTATTTCCGTATAATGAATAATTTATAGGAAAATAATAAAAAGTTAGATAGTATGAAAAATAGTAAAAGTGTCAACTTAATGTTTTTATGATTTAATATATCAGTTTAAACTTATCAATAAACATATTCAGTATAAATTACAATATTTGACCATCAAAGATACAAAATGCATCATAAAAAATGAATGTAAACTTTTCATTTACATTACACATAACTAACAAAATTCCATATTGTGTTAAGTACATTTTGTTATGTTCTCTGTAGACCTATAACATGGGATAGATTATTCTGAGTGGTAACTACCAAAAATTGTGTGCAAAGCAATTACTTTAAAAAAAAGCAAAACATGAATGCAAAAATGAATAGCATTTTTTAAACTGAAAATGTACTGTATTCCATATAATCTCAACGATATCATAAATTACTTGAATACAAGTTTAAAGTAGTTTATTATCAATCTTACTTTACTAAAATAGAAAAGTTCTAACTCATTAATTATCTGATAGTTAGAAATCTAATTCATTTCTTAAATGTCCATTATAGGGATTAACTATATTATAATGGAATGTATGCAAAAATAGTTCATCGTACCAATTGAGTGTTGAAGATTATTTATATCATTTGAAAACAATTAGGCCATTTCAACAATACATTAATTTTTTTCTCTAGAATAATTCATTTGACCTACTTTTTACACTAAATATCTACGCAGATCAACTAACTCACCTTGTTGGTTGTAACAAGTAAATGTACTGTTTAGGCCTATGGATTAAGACTAATGAGCTTCAGATTAGGGATCAATGAACCTTTCTCATTTCAAATAATTCTCTTTTTGAATTATACAGGAAGGTGTGAATGTCAAACGTTTATGGATTAAGACAATGGACATATTTTTCTACTTGCCATCTCTGTGGATATCTTAATGGCGGAATATATCGTTCTCTGTGCGAATTTATAGTAGAGCGCAGCTTTTTTTTATATTAGATGTATCAGTAGTTTAGGTCCTATCTGTATTTAGTACCATTACCTTTCTTGATATGTCGTTACAGGAAACAACCATAATCGCTCATAGTCTATGTCAACCTAATAGTTATGAAGTTTTTAAGCATTTTAGACAACAGGAACTGGCACGATCCACAGCGTTTTTTCTAGTTTATTAAATTTTTGTCTACGTGTCTATGGTTTTTGAACGGAACAAAGCAAAAGCTCTATGTTAAGCAGTAGAATCTCAAACGAGAATTAAACGAATTTCCGATTTACTGGGATTTTCAGTGATTACTTATATAACGTTGGATTTTTCTAAAACCTGAAAAATATGAAAAAAAATCGATGAAACGTTTTTTTATCACCGAGTTCTTTTGTTAAATTATTAATTAGATTCATCTATTATTTCCTCATGATACTTGCTAAAATGTACAGGTTATATTAAATCTATTCAATGGAATATAATAAGTTTTCTCTTAACTTACCGTCGAATTCCAAGACGTAGATAATTACTTTTCAATTCAGTAAGTGAATAAGATTCTTGTTCTGTTAATTCGGTACCTAAATGACCTTCAATTTCTAGAATTTCGTCTCCAATCTCAAGCCAACCAAAAGCTGGAGACCAAGAATATACCTAGAAAGTAATAGTTATCACTTGATAATTATATGATAGAAAAGTTCATTTTATGAAAATTTATTCATCTAGTTACAGATGTTTATTAAACTACAGTTAGTCTTGCATTTTGAATGTGCTTAATTAGGTATTCTCGAAAAAGTTAATCTGATCCGTTGAAGTGACTGGACATTTAAACAATTGTGTAATAAATACTTATAAATAAAATAATTAGATCTGACTAGTTTTCATATATAATTATATTCTCACTAGACAAGAATATTTGTTTTAACTGAGTATTCTAAGCATTAATAGCTGAATATTTAGTATAATTCTCTATGTGCATCTAGTTATAAAAAAACACATTAGGCGCAGGTATTTTCTAGCCAAGCAATTATTTTTAAGTTAGTTATTAATCAGCTGAAATATCATGATTTTAGTCATAACTGGATGGTTTTATTCACTTGCGATCTCCCTCCAAGTTTTATATATCCGATAACCTGATTTGTTGTCCTTCTAAACTGTCCTTGTATTTATTTTTTGCCGTCAAGGGGTTTTTGGAGAGTTTGATATTGTGTAAAGCACGATATCATTACGAAATCTTCACAATTAATTGATCACTGGGTGGTGATCAATGTCACGTGTGTCAAGTCCTTCTTAGTGCAGATCGAATGCTATTGACCAAGTTACAATGTGGCCACTAGTCTAGGTGACTCGACATTGCGTGCACTATGTCCCAGGGTCCAGGGTTTTTTGTTGATTACCTCCAACCACCATCTTATCTCAACATAGTGCACGTAATGTCAAGTCACCTAGACTAGACCACTAGAAATAACTGTAAAAACAACTAGCTTTGAGATGAAACTATTGCAGCGATATAGTACGGATCTGTAACTCTGTAAAAACAAGCAAATTGATTGTAAAGCGGTTAAGTCTCCGATAATGCTGAATGATACTCAGGTTAACTTTCTAGTCAACCAAAATAATTGATAAATACATACTCATCAGAGTTATAAACTTCATGAGTTTTGGATATCATATCATGATTTTGTGTAGGAGAGCCAGTAGTCTGTGAAAGAAAGTCACAAACTGGGATAAATCAATATATTCTGGTTGCTAATTAGTTTTAATGTGACGTCAATATGTATTGAAAATTACTTTCATGTCACATTACGTCATAGAACAGAGCGAACAGATTTTTAAAATTAATTTCGATCCCATAATGTCAATGTTAATCAGTTAGTAAATTATGTTTTTTCTAGTTATTATCATGATTTAACAGTAATCTTATAAATTAATAGGGAGATCAATAATATCTATGCCATGCAGGCCAAAACAAATTACATATGTACATTTACACATAAATATATAATCTCCACTTATAGATTGAAATTATTTTCATTTGTGACTTTAAAAGATATACCTTTCCTTCATTTCTTAAAGAAAAAGTGTTTCCATTTAAAGCACTATGCCGATTTATACATACGTCTACATTACCTAGATGTACTTATACATTAAAGGTCAATTCACTTTAGATAATCTACTTTCCCCTTATGAATATAAAACGTTTAAGTTTATTTTTTTATAATTTTTTTATTTGTAATATGGGATTGTAATTACTGTTATATGGTCTAATAATGGGATTGATTTTTCTGTGATATTTTGTAGTTATCTATTCAAATCTAAATTAGTGGTATATTTATTTTATCATTGAAAATGTGATTAAAACCGCTTTAAAAATGTAAAAAAAAATGGACAAATAAAACGTGTTGGATTTTGTTTTTATTCATCAAGAAATTACAAAAAAAGATTAAAAAATTTGTTCATTCCCAATCAATAAAATTGTTGACCAGTAGTAGTTTGGATTACAAAAATAAAATGTTTACACTTTTGGTCAATTTCTATGTTATCTAATTAGAAATTATTCATTAAGCTTATCTATGTAAATACAGGTAAATTGATGATGGTAATATATTCTTATTAGCTCCACTTTCATTCCCCATCGGGCTAATGCTGGTCCAAAGCCTAGATAAAAGAGGGGGGTTGGGTATGGGGTTAGCGACCCCATTCCGTAGAAAATTAACTCGCTAAAAATACACTAACCATAAAAAATAATTCAAACCAATATATATTGATTATCTCAATTTCATTTTCCCAACTTATTAAATATTATTAATTCAACTTAATTTATAATGATTTGGATTGTTCCATTGCTAACTGAAAATTTATCTGTTTTGGTCGAAATTTGTATAACCAGTGAAGATTTTCTTGATATAGTCATTATGAAACAAGTTTGTATAAAATAGATGTGTGGGATGTAGGCGTATCCATCAAAGGAGTCCCAAATAGGTCATAGATTTTACTGTTACTTATGTTCTATCTATTTTATGTAAGTATTAACTTAACGTTATTGTTTAGAGGGATGATACAGTAGGTCTAGCTGGTTTATAAAAAGCATCGCCAAGTGAGAAATAGTGGAAAGTATCATTGGTGCTGATTATGCAATAATTATTTCAAGTGTATACTTAAGACGAGAAATGAAATTAATGTAAGTGTGACCCTACGCATTATAGTAATCAATGTACCAGAAAACGAATTACTGGTTAAGTGTAGAATATGTTGTTTAATGGTGACAGGCTAGAATTTTTTTTATTCGTTTGATCCTGAATGAATATTTTTACTCACGGTAAAGCAATGCATAGACCAAAACTCTGTTAAAGTTTTTATTGCTAGAAAATGTATTTTGAGTTGCCTTTGATTTTAAACTTCGGTTATTACAAAAACTCGATAATGTTTAACATTTGTCGTCACTAATTATACATGAACTAGATAAGGATTGGTAATAGCAATAACGAAAAACCGTAAAATAAGGTTAAGGTTATGTTTTGTTGAGTAGTTTGGAATACTGTATTCATCTGACTCAATTATTGTATTGTGTTGTTAAGGAAAGGTACGCAGAGAAACCTGTCCGCTAAAAGACCACATTTTTCAAAAATATGCATGATCATTTTCGCGTGTATACTGAAATATATTCAAAAGACAGTAGAAGTATCCATATATAAGAATCTTCATCAAATGATGCAAACTACAGATATGAGAAAAAAACAATTTCAATGGTATAATCCCAGAGGTATAAAGGAAATTAAAAAAGCTAGCATAGCGACATCTCAGTATGCAACATTACTGAATATAAAACTAATCTGAGTCAGTTATATTTCGGAAGTAAGACAGCAACTCACTAATGGTATTAAATGAAAATCGTGATGTGTAATTTCAAAATTAGTAATCCAACTTAGTGACCACTCATATAATCTAAATATCTTCGTTTGTAAATGGATAGCGTTATGAAGTCTTACACTAGAAAAAACAAATTGCCTACTACTCTCTGGTTCTCACTAATTTTTCTCATTATGTCAGCTTTTGGTGAAAATCATGATAAATCTCCATCAAACTTTAGAATTAAAAAAGAGTATTGATGTTATTATGTAAGAATGAAGATTCTTCATTATTCATACTGGAACTCTAGTTTAATAGAAATTAACATAAATCAAGGAAAGCGATTGTTAAAATTAACTACTAGTATAAAGACAAAAATGAAAATGACTGACGGTTTGACGAGTGTCTTAATTTATTTATCACAAAGAGAACTTCGAAGAACGTTATCAGCAATTAAATGAATACTATAAGTGGTGAAAAAAACCACCAATAGACGATTGTTAGTTTATAGAATTTATAAGTAGATTCACTGAAAAAATTTCTTATTATGGAGAAATGGTTTTGCATACTATAGTGAGCTTCAACCATTCAAGGTCACTTCTTCAGCTAACCACTAAATTTCCATTTGAACAGAGTAAAAGAATTTATTGACCAAACTTATTTTCTGACATAATCTTAAAGCCAATAACTGTTTTCAATTTTTAACCAAATTTGGATAAAAACTGGGACACATATTTTAAATCAAACAGTGGTTAGAATCAATTCAACTTTATGTGAATTATAAACTAACTGATTGTTGGATTTACATAAAATACATTCAGTTGTGTTATAATATCAATTTAATTGCTAAACTGGTTATAATTTGCTGAGTTTAATCACTAAATATACACTTTATTGATGCCATTCATATAACCATTTATTCAATGTGGTAAACAAACAGCTAATGAATAATGTATGGTAAACTGATTAATATATTAACATTTATATTCTAAAGAAACAGTAGACTTCTAAAAATCAGACATTACTTAAAATTCGTTTCATAAGCCCATAGTAATGGTAATTTCTGAAATAACATATGAAATCGTTCCAGTTACATGATATCATGTACAACTGACTACGACCGTCGAGTTGTCCGAAAAATAAAGCATAATAAATTAAGGTTGAATTGAGAGTGTCAATCAAATCCCCACGAATTATGATATATATATTTGTAAGGAAATAAGGATAATGGTTATCATTCTATTCTAGATTCGTGGTTAGGGGAGTTAGGTTAATTCTTCTTACTATATAGAAATGGATATCAAGGAATTACTAGTCAGTTAAATCCTTCAAAGTTTACTCAGGTTGAGAAAAACAATGTACATCTTAAACGTATTTTCACTTATATTGATAAAGTATTTACCCTTAATATTGATGTCAGTCTTAAAACAGATTGACTTATATGATTCGTAATGAATCGTATCGATAAATTATCCCAAGACTCAGTTCATATGAATGAAACATGTCGCTTAAAACGCTCTACTAGTAGTCATTGTCGAAACAAAGATTTTTCCAGTTCATTAAAGTATGGATATTTTAATCAAAATGAAATTACCTACTAAGATGTATTATTCCACAATGTGAAATCGTTGAATCTACTTTTTACTGAAGTTTGATAGTGATCAGAAATCGAATCCATTACGCGCGTTTTATTCTCTTTAGGACGCTCTCTTTAAGACTCGTCCACTGGACGTAAATATACTTCACTGTTGATGTTGACACTCGGATTACAACTCAATAAGTTTTACTTCAAATGCTAGCGCGTT